TCGTGAAATTCATTATTGAAATGGTACCTAACTGAGAGGGGGCAGTATGGCAAAAACTAGGAACAACAACTATTTAAAAAGGTTAATTAAAAAAAAAACTAGTTGAGAGAGGGAGAAGGAGGACCAGAGACCATGGTTTCTCCACTCTTCAGAGCGTGTCTTTTGGAGCACTTCTTAACTTCACTTTGCTCTATTACATTGGAAAGAATTCAGTGAGCTAAAAACCAACTATAACAACAACACCAACTATAGACTCATGGACATACGGTAGACTCAAGCCTCTACCCGCGGCAGGCGCCGCAGGCGGGGCGATGCAAAAGGGCTGACACCGCAGCTTGTCTGCCCACTCCGTTCGACAGAGGGACACACACACCCAGTCTGCGGCCCGCCACGTCAGCACCGCGCGCGACAAAGCTGATAACGCCAGGGCGCGACATTTCACAAGTGACGTGCACTTTGAAATGAGAGTATTCAACGAAACGCACCCGGCACGAGTGATGGGGGTCGATCGTCCGCTGTTGCCAACCACAAATGCCGTTATGTAATGAACACTGAATAGCCACATCAGTCCAATAGCTATTTTTTCATAAGTAATCTTTAATTAATTCGGTTTCGTATTCATTCCGTGAAATAACTCCATTTTTATCGATAACGAGGGATCGCCGTCGGCATCTGGTACGCTGAGTTTCCTACCTAGGGGAGAGAGGTCATATTGCGCCATGTTCTTAAATGCGCCACACCTTCCTCCTGTCCAAAATTCGATTCGAATGAATACTCGAGTGTGTGCATTTACTTCACCACCAATAACTCGCTCTTGTTCCGGTCCACGGGGGCAGGTGAGGTGTCGCAGCTTTCTCGCAGACCATTTTTTGTGATTTCCTCTATTTTGTTACGCGAAACAGTCTATTTCGACCTTTGCTAGTGTCATGGTTTATCTTAGAGATAGTGATTCAACTAATAATCATTGTTAATTGCTCGTTTAATGGTAGTTTTGAAAGTTTATCACCACCGTGGCTTCGCTGTCCTCGCCATATTTGAAGCTCATGAAAAATGTGTTCCATTCGTAATTGCGCCCAACCTATTTGCGCCCTATTCTTCAACCCAGAGAAACAGCATCTGGTGGTTGGGACACATTTCATTGAACACTTTGATTATTAGACCGCTCACCTTACCATTACCTTAGCCTTCACAGCATAAATGGTTAATGGGCTGACACGTTCAAATAGGCTACTTAGTTAGGTGGCAAACCATTGTTTTTAATAGGGCGCTTTTACATGAGAGGCATGGGCGCTTTTTGATGGGGTAGTCCGTAAATGCGCCCTTTGCAGGTGTGTCGGAAAACTTATCTCTTGTTAATTTTAATGGGTGTGATACAAATTAGGAGTTGTAATTTGATGCCAAAATAACTGAGGTACAATTTGAGATATCATCAAGCATGACAGCTGGTCAACTTTAGCCGCAATAGGCCGATATCCTTAAGGTGGCGCAATATGACCTCTCTCCCCTACTTGTATGTAGGTACTGCAGAAAGTCTCTAGTCATAACTATGGAGAAGAGGGATGGAGGAACGCAAGATCTACAGGTGACGGCTAAAACGTTTAATCAGCCATGCGCTTTTGAGGAGCGTGTCTCCGGCCTCGAGAGTGCTGCATCGTTCCAATCCTAGTCAAGCAGTAGAATACGTATGCGTGCAGTATATGAGCCACATGACATACCCACTGACGATAATGGTGGCAAACGCCTGTCAGTCGTAGACGGGAAAAATGCAAAAAAAGTGCATGTACTCGGTTACATGCGTGGCATTTCAATAGTGTACGGTAGAACGTGTGAAATACGCTGCTCACAGCTGGTTTTAGTGAATACCGGACATCGATAATGATTTACACGTGTACCGACGGTAGCACACAATCACGATTCACGGCGACAGCTGCGGACTGGGATAGGTAAGATTTTTTTTTATATAAATTTAGTCCGAACCTTTTGATGGGAAGGATTCACAAGGACAGAGCCACCGCTAAGCGAAGCTTGTTGCGGTGACCCTGCCCTCTACCCTCCGATCGCGCAATTCCAGTTCTATGGCAGAAATTAGAGTCCAAAGTTTAACGTGCGCACATAGCCGCGCACGGCCGGTCCCCTCACTGACTTCACCTGGCTACGGCCTGCCACCAACCGTAACCATACCTGTCAGGAGGCCCATAAATGTCAAGCGCCCGTCGCGCTTCGAACCCGGACTGTTGTAACCGGGAACGCGTGCTCTCACCACGCGGAGTCCAACGCTCTACCAACTGAGCTACGGGACCGGCATTTCCTAAGATCTAAGATTTCCTAAGATCTAAAAGATATCAGATAGGCATCCTCTTATAAATCAGACGAATGTTGTAAATAAATCAGCGTTTAGTGCGTGTGTAAGTACACATCCAAAATTTCTTCCAAAGACGCGAACCTGAGATTAGCAAGGAACAACATGATATCAACAGATAACATAGGACAGAAAACGAGCTGAAACACACACACAAAAAAAAACACCACCAATTCCAAGGCTCTAAAACATAACAAATTCAACTTAAATCAACAACAATATAAAACAGGATGCCAAAACCGATCACTGCGCAGCTGGGCTGAAAGGGAACAAACACCGGACACCATCAGGTGAAGCCCGGTGACGGCGGCCGGCCGGTGTACATACGGTGACCGGTGACCGGAGGCGGATCCGGTATCGTCACCGCCCCGGCTCCGGTGTCCCCCCCCCCCCCCCCCCTCACCCCACCAACACAGTCCCGCCGGGCGCTGCGCCGCCCCGCCCGGCACTTATCGAACAAACACCCACTCCCCTCCACCCGCGCTATATGTACACCGGTTCGCTGCTGGGGTTACGCAGGGCAGTGGCGGGGCGAGAGGTCTCTTTTTCACACACAAATCGGCGACCTAATATTCAGCACTCTGTCAATGTCCATCTGGGACCAGACCGCTTCATCACAAAATTTTGTCATCTCTATCGCTCGTTGGCTCCAGCACCTGGCTTATTTGATTCAAGGCCATGTTCCGTTTGCATAGGGCATAATGATCGGGACTCTACGCAATATCAATAACCCTCAATAACAGTTTCTGCCCAGTGCCCTTCCTTAGTTCGAGCAACTATCCACAGAGTGCCTTTTTGCCCCATTCGTTCATTCACATTCGATGGCATGGCCATACGTTCCGGTTCATAGGTAGGCTACGCGCGATAATAATGTAAACGAATGCGTACCGCGTCCATACAGTAGCATACAGCCGCTGAATGCTGCTGCTGTAAAGCGCCTCCAAAGTGTCGTAACGATGCATGAAGATTGACAAGATTGAGCACGTTCACAAACCACGGCCATGCGACACAACGTTTGATACCTAGTTTCTTCGCTGGCAGTTCTTAGGCTTGAAGGAACGGCTACGTACGAAATTATTCACATATCACGTAGGTATATGTGCCTTTAGAGAAATGCGCACCGGAGCATCCAATAACTTCATCTAGCCTCCAATCAAATGAGATAAAAGAACTGAAAACGTGAAATACGAGTAAATAAAAATAAAAGTCGCGTAGGTGTGCATATGAAAGCCTTGCATGCCGGCCAATAAGTCGCATAGCTTAGGCACTTAAGTTCGGTTTCATTCAACATTGCGGAAGCAAGTTGGTATGAGCACCTGCATCGGCAAGCAAGGAACAGTACCTGCACAAAGTGCACATATCCCTTAGGGTATCCAAATACAGAGCCTATTGAGTGTTCGTTTGTCACTCGAATCCAAAAATGTTTTACAAATTACACTTCCTCCTCCAATTACGCACAAAAACACGATACAAGCAATGTTATCACTCTGTAATTGAGTGCATAACGGATCGGTGATCACCACGACTGTTTGGGAAATCTCTGCTTTGTAAATAGAACGACTGTGTGAGTGCTCCCATGTTCTTCCCCGTTGCGAGCTGGCTCGTAAAAATAGGCTTAGCTTAGGCAACATACCACTCAGGAGACTTAATGAAAGTGAACATCGCAGCTCTGAGCTCGCCAATTTCGGCGCTGCATTGTCTTATCAATGAATAAGTCTTCGCAAACATTCTTCTGTCCCGCCTCCGGGAATTATAGGTCGTTGCACGTTTAAAGGGACCCTCCCACCTTAACATTAGTTTTGAGTTGAGATAGCCAAGTTTGCGGCCAGGCTCAGAAACCACCATTTATCCTGGTCGCAACCCCCGCAGCTTTATGGTGTTCAAGAAATTTCTTCCCTTTACTTGCAGGGTGGGACCAGCGTGGTCCCTATCTCTTAACCATTACGGGAATCTGATGACGTCATCAAGCTTTCGAACGTCCGTTAAATGTTTGACTAAAACGTTTTGTAGCACGTGGTGGTATACGCTGCTTTGCGCGCAACAAATGCCGCACTTTCAAATAAAGTCGCTAGGAACAGCGGGAATCCCAAAAAGTAAACAAAAGTAAAAGTCTAATATCTTGAAAACCGGTGAATATTTTTCGATGAAATTTGGTAGATATTCGTTTTTGCTCTTTCTGAACCGAGCGACATCACTTTCATGCCAATTCATTAACTTTTTTGAAGGTGGGAGGGTCCCTTTAAACTAATTTACGTGCTTCGCAGTTCGCAGTTTGCTGACTCATACTCATTACTCACACCATTGCTGCTGTAGACCCGTATGTCAATTGCATATATTCAAGATGGCCATCTTTTGTGTGTAACACATCCCTTTTTCTCGTTCACGCATCAACGCTGGCGTCGCAGCCACTTATTCGCCTTCTGCGTCATATTCATCGATTTGTGGCCTCATCGCAGCCTGCGTTTATCCAATCTGTTTGACTCATCCCCATGAAAACAAAACTATCCAAGAAAGTTTTCTTAAGACGGACCAAAATATAAGAGCGTGATCCGTGACATGTCCCACGGACCGAATAATAGAAAGGATGGTTGGGGGTGGTGGACGCCGGACCGTCGTTCCCTGACCCGGCCGGCTGCCTCACCGTGCAGTAGCGAGCCGCGCCGATCCATCAGCAGCGAGTTGTAGAACACGACGTAGCCGAACACGCCGCACACAAACACCACCAGCAGACGGCGGATGGCGGCCGAGCGCAGCTCCATGGCCGCCGCCGCCGGTGCGGTGCGCGCGCGCTGCCGGTGTCGACGCCGGCGCCGGCCCCCGTCGACTGAGTGCCGCCGGCACAGGGGGCGCGGCGCGACCGGCGCGGCGCAGCGCACCGATTGGGGAACGGCAGCGGCGCACGGAAGGACGAGGAACAGCGAGGAGGAACGGGTTACCTGGAAGGAGAGGATTCCGGGACGTCGGAGGGAGCGAGGTCGAGGACTGAAGGCGCTGGGACGTCGCCCGTCGCGAGTGATTCGGCTTCGTTTAGAGGTGAGTCATAGTTACCTACAAGCTACACAGAAGATGAATCAGCCAACACTCCACACACAAGCACGCCGCAGACCCGTTGGTTTATAAACTTCTTTGGTCGCCGAACTCCACCCATGAGCTGATCTAAGGGACCGGAGACTGAGACTGCCTCAGTATTGATTCATCAGCGGTCGATCCAGCACTTTCAATTTCTGCCATAGCATTAACGATGGTCTATGTTGTCGTTAGGTCTGAGCATTAAGTGCATCTACATCTACATAATTGGTATGTACTCGTACCTACCGAAAAATGCCTAGTCCCAATCCAAGGCCCTATACCTAGTGTAGCCGTCTGTCGATCCCAGCGAAGCCAGAAATCCAATACCGGCACGCTGATATCTGTAAGAATCTTGACCGGCACGAAGCCTTTGAAAGCAGCTTGTAATATCCAAAGTTGCAAAATATGAACCTTCCGATGGTACGTACAACTCGTAGGATTATGAATTTAAATTTTGAATCACGATGAGAAACGCTCAGCTTCAGTTACTCACCTGATCGTTGCTTGTCTCGCCGACGCAGCAGAAGCGGAATTCTTGTGAAATACCCAAACTTAATCAACAATCAAGGTCGTAATAGTAATACATAGTTCTTTGACCACCATCCCACGCATTCCACGAATAAATAAATATGAAGATCACTGTTGACTGCGCTGCGGTCAATGAACCCTGCAATATTGCATTGCAAAGTGCGTCAGTTCAACAACCCCGCAGCTGCCCGCAGCCTTTATTTTATTTGTATTTAGGGCCTTGCCCGCAGCCACAATTGTATATTCACAGCATGATCGTTGCCATGGTAACGTAGATAAAAATTGCTGCCAAATTTGGCGGGTTTTGTCGACTCATCCGCATTTGACGCAGCAACAGTTTTTGGCTATTGATCATTGATCAATCAACGGTGAATATAATATAATGGCACTAAACAGGCGTCGAAACCATGCTGAAGAGCCGCTCAATGTTCGATTTAGTATTCGTAATGTGATTTACAGCTTATCCAAAGCTGATGGGGGCGGAGGCAATTCAGCCTGGCGTCTTCCCGAAGACTTAGTTCTCTGCCTTAGTTCTCACCGAGGTGCGTGATTGATGACGAACTAAGCTCACGGCCACGGGATAGATCAACTGTGACTCAGCCACTGGGGTCTGACACCGTTTTAGTAACCTCACATGAGACCACACAGCGCCAGCTGTTTGCGTCTGTCACATCGTCACGTCACAAGGGACTCAGCCACTGGGGTCTGAAACCGTTTTAGAACCTCACATGAGACCACACAGCACCAACTGTTTGCGTCTGTCACAGTCACGAGGGACCGCACTGATCAGAAGGCCGTACCGCAGCACGTTACCATGAATGTAGGAAAGGCTGGCTTAGGAGCTCTTTCATATCTACCTGGCACCAGGGGTGGGGGTCTATCGAAATTTCAGGGGGGGGGTCCAGGCCGGGCAGATGGAGGCGGGCTGGATGCAGTACCATTGACTTACATAGCAGTAATTCGTTTTCAGGGGGGGTCCTGATCCCCCCCCCCCAAGATCTCCACATCTGCCTGGCACAGGCTGAACGCAAATGAAATCACTAAGGTTACCTACATGCCACATGGCACAAAAGACTTACTTTTAATGAATAACAGTGAGCGGAAGGGGAATACGGGCTGTTTTATCTGTTTGATGAACGTCGTATAGGCAGATGGTTATCACTTATCATGCCTCTTCACTCAGTTGCAGCCGAGTTGTATCGGTCCATTGGACGGGTTTGGCAGTGTAGCCCTGCGCCTCTGAATAAGTGCCGAGCGTTCTGTTATCAGTCATTAGGTCGGCACTCTTATCTAGTGTCCAGGCTAGTGGCTCACCCGGTGCCGCAATATTATGAAGCATGCATGAGACACGGCTGATAATAGTGACAACCCATACGTAATTGCAGTTTAACTGAGCTTTGCTATTATCATACGGGACCGTCAAGAAATACGTGTATCGTCCCCCAAGCTGATAAAGTACCAAAGATCTACACAAATCTAGCATTATATTCCAATATGTATTTAATCTTCTGTTACAAAAGACTCCAAAAACACGCAAAGAGCATCCGTCGTCAGGCACCCGTCCACAAACGCACGCCTCCCGCAGCCGACCGAGCCAGCAGGGCGCTTTACATAATTCCCCGCCCCCGGCAGACGGTCACCCGCCAGCAACTCATCACGACGTAACCCCACAGCTCCATTGCACGTGCACAGCTACAGACGACCGGCGGCCCGGCACCGTCCGGCGTCCGGCCGGGCCGCCCCGGTCGCAGACCCACCTCTATCACAGGACAGTGGCCACTCGGGCCAGACTAGCCAGTCGAGCTCGACGGTGGCGCCGCCAGGCGGTCGTCAGACGCAGTTAAAACGACAGAACCGCCGCTAGGAAGCGGTCTGTGCACGGAAACGCTCGCAGCGCCGCGTGGCGGCCGGCGGCTCAAGCTTGAGTTGCGCGCACTGCCGGCAGCGGCGCTACGCGTAGCTCACGCGCGAGCCGGCCTGCACGTCAGTCGGCTCGTCGTCCTCGTAGAGACTGTCCTGCTCGTCGGAGCGGTCCCTGCGACCGACACAGAGGGAGGGGTCAGTCCGAGCCGGCACCCGGTAGCACGACACATAAACGAGAGGACGACACTACGAATTATCAGATCGAAACATTATGCTGTTGGTTAGTTCAGAGCCCGGTCTCATTCCCCCGTTATCGCCGCCCCTCTCTCCTTCTCACCTCCACCTAACCTTTATTACCCTTTTGCTCCTATATAAGCATGTCTCTTTCACGTACATCCACACTCTCTCCCACGCCTTCAATTTCCATCGTCGCCCGTCCACCACCTCTCTCCCACTCTCACCTGAGCACGTAGACGACCGTCTCGTACGTGGACATCATGATGGCCGTGTTTGGGATCTGTCTGACTAGCTGCGTGCCCAGGCCGCGGTACAGGCCCCGGTAGCCCTCCTCGGCCCACACCACGCGCAGCGTCTGGAAGAAGCGGCGGTACTTGGTGCCCTCCTCGCGCAGACGAGTGCGCGCCACCTCTGCAAACGAGAGATACGCGAATCAATTCCGAGCGGGGGTAATTTCACGGGCCTTGGGCACCTCTATGGGGACGATTCGGGTCGGTTCAAAGGCTGGAGCTGGGAAGGGGTCAGGTGAAAAATGAACGTGAGACACCAACTCGGCTACGTAGTCTAAATAGAACTTCGTCCACCAGGAACCATACAGTTTTTGTTATAGACGACAGCTTGTCGAGTCCAAACTACATTTGGTCCACACACAACTCACACACGCATGACGCAACGGCAAAACCCGACGGATGATGCAACATAGGTCATCACCAACGAGAAGAAACAACGCGACTTAAAAATGCACACGAGAAATGCACGCACAATGGGTTGCCAAGTAAAACAACGTTCACTAGTTGATTAAGATATGGTCCCTGAGGCCGTGCGGCCCTGACAGAAGCGAAAACTGACGCCGCCTCGGGCTCCATTTTGGCAGTGACCTCCAAGGAGTCGACCGGGCCGTCACAGACGGTGGGCCGTTATACATCACCCCTTTCATCCCCCCCCTACATCCTGGGTGGGGAGGAGAGACGGCTGGCCACAGCGCGCGGCAAATGCGCCAAGATCGTGTCAGGTGCGGCGCCGTCGACGCACGAGTATCGACGGCGGCGAAAACAAGGATTGCAGCCAGAGTCTTGAACAACACACCATCGCAAGAATTACGAGGTTGGTCTTATTGGAGCCGGCACCAAAGCGAGTAATTTCTTTCGTGCTTCTGATTGATCCTCCATGCTCATTAGTCTATAAGGTATGATGCTTATATATTGCTCATGTTAAATTATCCAACGCTACGTTTCGAATCTGGCATCTGGTGGGGACGGCGCCCGCCGGCCGGCCAGGGCTGGCACCTCGCCCGGAGAACGACGGCGACGGTCCGGGCCGAGCCGCGGTGACCAGTCGACCCTCTCTGGGTGCCGGGAATAGAGACTCGGCCAGTAGGGAGTTCACTGACCGAAACCGTCCGTAAATGACGTTATGTTGTCAACAAATCTGTCTCAATTGTCAATACGATACAATGACGACAAGAATGCCAAAAGTTGTGAATGCTTGTGTGATGGCAGCCGTTCATTTTTTTTTTTTTTTTTACCCATATGCAGTCGATTCTAACGCAGGTCAATAGCAGATTAACACAGACCAGCAAACGAAACGCGAACTGAAATGTCACTTCCACTTGAGATGCCGCCACGTTTGCCCGTAAAATCAATGTGACGGGGCACTGATATAGCTGTAACCGATCCACATCGAGTGATCGGTTCCACCAACTGTCTATGACAGCGTGTTAGTTTGTGACGGTCAGTAATGGACAAGCCATTCAACCGTTCACAGTCAGGCAAAGGTTATCAGTGCCGCTTCATATCAAGGACTTCGACTACGGGAGACAACAGGCAAAAGTTGCCAACAGGCGACGGTCCCCGCATTGCAAGATACTGTGGTGGATATGATAGCCAGACTGTGAAAGCAAGATGTAGCTAAAACTGGGAGCAGAGTTTGATATCCCCTCACTCCATCCAATAACATAACGAGAGACGACCCAGCCAACACATTCGTCGTTTGTAAACATCCCAGTATGGAGACTTTCCATCGTCTGCGGTCGAAAAAGCCGGTGAAATTCCGTTTGTTTGTGGAGCGTCAGTCAAGGCTACCGGTCGCAGTGACTTTGAACAGCAGCTGTACGGTCGGTGTAATAGTACAGCGAGAGCGCGGGCACAACTAGACACGACTCACGGTGTGTACAAAACCGCCAAACACGAGTAAATAAACACCTCGGGAAAGCGTCGTCCTCTGGGCAAACCACCCGCTCAACGGGAATGAATCACAGAGAAACACCAGACACATGAGGCCACAGTCAGTTATAAACCACACAAGCTCTAATCGTAAAGGAGCGGTAAAAAGACACATTCATTTTTGAATTCGAATATCGTGATTTTTTCAGCAATACATGCTCGGCTAGATGTCACAATGTGCAATATAACCGTACGACGACCGTTGGAAATATATCGTATTAAAATCGTATACAAGCCATGAAACAAAATACGACACTGCAGACACTAAGCACACTTTCAGAACCTTACTCTGTGCTCATCCGACAGCCCTAACCGCAGAGTTAGAATAGCACTCACCGTGGGGATAGGCCACCGATGAGGCGACCGTTTTGGAGACGGCGCCGGCCACCATGAATTCGACAAAGTCCCAGCTGGTCTTGTTGGGATCGGCCGCGTGCCTGGGGAGCGGCGGGGGCTGCGTCAGAACGGAGAAGACGCCTCAATGGAAGCCGAAGGACACTTTACAGAACGGGGTGGGGCGAGTCGACACTGATTGACAAAATAGACTCGCTGAAAAGTGGCTGGAAATACTTGTATTTCACATTCGTTCGGCGACGACCAAGTGAGGTCCCTAATGACAGCTCTGCGTTTACATGCACCGCGCCAGTCAACAGACATTCGAGCGAGTCAGAGAAACTGAGTGCTCTATTCGTTGAGCCTTTTAACAGCCCGTACCACAGCGACCCCGTCAAGGGTCAAAACAAAGCAAGAACATGGCTCATGGCCATCAACACATCTAACCGGTGACCCATACTCACACTAACTGACACTCCTCTCGTCAATCATGAGTGTCATCATAGCGATGACGCAGCCACTACACAGCCTACCGCCTCAGCATTCCCCACTAACGCTG